GCGTTTAAGTATACCATAAACCACAACATAGGAAACACCACAACAAGATGAGCACTCGAGTGTGTACGTACACGTATGTGTGTGCATATGTATGTACAATCGTGCGTGTTCGCAGTGGAACGCAATCCTTGTGTGTGTACACTGCTGTGTATGTACACTGCGTTGTATGTCTGTATGTACACCCTGTATATGCACACTCGTGTGTGTATGCACTCCGCTTTTTAAATGCAGCAGTGTTTGGATGCACACTCGTGTGTGCATGTCTACTCGTCCGTGTTTTTTTAAGGAAGGATATGGTAGCAATAACGTACGATCAGTCATGTTTAAAAACAAATCAGGTCTGTATTGATTTGCAAGAATATTAACAGTAAAACTCGCATTAAATGTTTTTATCAATTCGCTTGGTCAAACGGTTAACAAACTAGGAAATTTATATCACTTTCAGGAATGCAACAGTTATAAAATATTCTCAAATCAAACACGTAAACATCGATTAATCATCTTCTTGGTTCTTTCGGTAAAGTCACGTATAAGGGAAATAATAAACATAATAAAATAATTCTCACGACGTTTCGGCCACAACGCACACAGCCGTCCTCAGGTGAAGACCAGGTCTGTCGGGGAGACAGCGTCTGAATGAAACACCACCACGTTTGGAGCGTATATTTAAGCTGGGTTGTAAGGGGAAGAGCGCCTTGACAAAATAATTTGCATATCAAGAGGAATTTAGCATATGCAGATATGTGATTAGTACTACTTGTGAAATGCGTAGGAGGTGGGCGGGGGGTTTCAAAGTCATATTATGCCCGTGCATTTATGCAGGATTAGCAGCATCAAAGGGAGGGGATAGTGGTATCATTAATAAAGGGAAGGAATGTTAATAGTATGTAGCTGCAGTAACTAAACAACCACGTAAAAAACTAAAGTATAAACTACATAGTATTATCAGTATACTAAATATATTCTCCAATAAGCTGAGCTACTAACAGTAATTAATACATTACAATTCTCTGTCGCAAAAAATATAGTATGCTTCCAGCTAAACTTTTTTCCCTTACATCACACGGGTCTACCCCGTTCTATATGCTGCCATCGACAAACCCAACATTAAATTACATACTGTTCAGATAATCGTCGCTGGTGTTGACCGTGAGCATGAATTTAACGTGAGCTAGAATTGAGCTGTGCGCTAACCACTACACTACCTCTACACACACGCGAGTGTGCATGCACAGCAATATTAACGTCAATATTTTTTTTGCAGATTAATAAAAATCGGATTTTTTAAAGTTATCTGAGCGTCCGTTAACTGTCCAATGCTTACAACAAACACGTACACACACGAGTCAAAGTCAAGTGTACTTACACAGCAGTGTAAATACACACACGCTTACAGGCAATACCATGTCGATTATCATTAAAAGTGTATGACAGCAATCGTAATAATTTGCGTGGATTAAATTAAACAAATCACCTTGATTGTTCTGACGCGCTCAAATCAACAAAAGTACTTCAATAAATTTATAAAACAAAGTATAAACTTGCACCTTCAGTCTGCATTTCCCTGGTAACGCATTTGAACTGGCAGCATTTTGCAGCATATTGCAGGGTGAATATTAGCAAATGAATGCAAATTATGCGGTGAGATGAATATATGTATTCAGGCTTAAGCTCAATGGCAAGATTAGCGAAGCTCTCTTGCTAAATATGCAGATTGTAAATTCTAAAAACAAAAAATGTATTTAAAGATCATGAAATACAAAGTCGAGAAATTCATATTTCATTAATGCAACATCATTCCAAACGACCCCACCATTTCTGTGCTGGTGTAATTGCCCCAATTTGAATGATACCTGTGACTTGCAGCTTTCCACACCTTACGCCACGCTCCCACGCCCCCTTCATTCGTTTTTGTTCCTCAAAAGGAGGCACTCCCTGTTTTTTGCCAAACCCCTGCCACGAGTAAAGTTTTGCAAAAACAAACCCCTTCCTTCATTGACGGTCTCGGACGGTAACGCTGTGGTAGATGTGAGCAGTTTCCCAGAGGGAAGGCTCGTAGCCACCACAGCGGCCCACGAGGTCTCTGGACGGGTGCGAGTGGCTGGTAACCCCTCAATATTCAATGCAATTACCTTAAAAACCCGTCCAAAATATTAAACACGTGCAAAATATTGAACACAAACACACTGGTGTATATACACACCGAAGGTCGTATGTTACAGACCAAAAGGTGACGATTGTTTTTTTTGCGTAACTTTATTATATACCACGCTTATAGGCTAAACCATTCGGATGATTGTTCAAAGTTTTTGACTAAAATTATAACAAAACAAACTCGTTTCCTAGAAGCACCCCACTCATCATGAGTGTCTCTAAATGTATTTATAAAACAAAGTCAGTAGAGTATAAATTTGCACCTCTTAGTCCAAATTAAACTGGACAACATCATTTTGATTCTTCAGACTGTATGTCGTTGTTTAATCCTCTAAACTTGCTGCAGCTTAGAGGACATTGTCGGGTGAATATTAGCAAATTCACAGGAAGCACGGACTTATGCATGGAGATGTACATCTTTATTCATACGGAAACGTACAATTATGCAGTGGGATGCACATACATATTAAGATTTAATTACAATGGCCAGATTAGATAAGCTATGTTGATTGATATACGGATTGTAAATGTAAAAAAAATTACAATTGAACGCAAAATCCTTGATAGGCCAAGCCGTGAACAAAGGATTTGTGCTTTCTAACAGCACTTGCCCCAAAAGTCTCTTGAAGGCTATATGGGTTAAATTTCGATCCAAATCTTTCTTGACTGCAGGGATTCATCTTATTGGTTCTTTCGGTAAAGTCGTCACGTAGAATGGAAATATTAAAATAATAAAAATAAAACATAATAAAATTATTCTCACGACGTTTCGGCCACAACGCAAGCAGCCGTCCTCAGGTGAAGAACAGGTCTGTCAGAAAGACAGCGTATCGGTTTTTTTGGTCTCTGTGTGTGTATCGACATGCTTCTGGGTGAGTGTCTGTGTGAGAGACACTGATCTATCAACGCTGAGATCCTTAATGCTCCCCCCAGATTTTACGATCTCACGTTGTTCGTAATGACTTCGTCAGACACTTGGACAATTCCATGCAATGTGTGTGTTTTATATTTGTATGTGGATAGTAACGATAGTGGATGTACATTCACTCTGAATCTTTACTTTGTCGTTAAAAAGGACGGGGTACACATTGTTATTAAACTTCACATCTACCCTACCTCCATGCCGAAAAGCCACTTCAGTGGTAATATAACTGCAACGTATTTGATTCATAAACCCGCATGTTCAAATTTTCACAACATTTTAACCCGTGTTGGGATGTCGCCATCCTGCCATGGAACCAATTATCCATTCGTGTCTCTAGCAGACCATTGCAAGCCTTGTGTTAGAGAATGGCCCACTGAAGCTGATATCACAGAACTAATTCTGAGTACACTTCAAGTGCCCTCTGGTCCACATAGTAAAAAGCAGGACCCTCCCACCTGTTCTTTAAGTAGGAGTAACGTCTCTCATATGTTTGTCCTTGTGTAATGACAGGGTTACACCTGTTGACATGACAAAGTGACACCTGCTGTCCTGGGAAGGCATTGACGGGTACAGGCACAGAAGTAACAGCCAATCAGTGAAGGAGGCGTATCTGGGGCAAAGCAAACAGGTGGGGTTAGCCGAAATGCTCGGGGAATCTGCTCGAAGGTTCCACGAAAGGGCGTGGCTGGAGGCGGGGCTTAGGCACACCTGGGGGAATATAATGGGGAGTGGAACCGGAGCTCGGGGCTCGTGTGGGGTCCTGGGTCCTGGCTGTGTCGCTGTTCACCAAAATCTCTCTCCGTTGTCCGGCCACGTGGAAGATCTCCTGAATGATTACATCGCCGTCATCATCATGCCGCCAGCCAGCGGCGAGACGAGTGAGGGCGAGGGGACCACGCTGAGTGATCGACTCTGCGTGCAGCCAGTAGAGGTGTTATTGCCGAGAGTTCTATTCAGTGAGAGTAAGAACCAGTGTTGGCCTGTATTGTGCCCACTGTGAGAAATAAAGAAGTACCCTCTATGTGACGTGTCGTGGAAGTCACTCATTACACTTGTACTGCCACACACACAGCTGGGACACCTCACATCCGAGCCAAGGCACATTTACCCAACACAGACAGCACTTGCAAGCAATTCAACGTTATGTTGTGTCATCATGGGTTTATTTCACAAAGTTTATATAGTACCAGCAACAACAATGGTATTGAATCTTATTCTTTACAGGAGTGGCTCTGGGGCTTGCCACGTGGCAGGTTTCGTCAATTGTCTGTACAAGACCCCTCTAGCTCTCTCGTCCTGGGTCAGCTGCCCCTTCCATGTCCTGGAAACCATGGCAAGGTCACCCCATGAGGACTGCCTGGATGAAAACCAGCATGGAAGGGGCCCAGGATGGGGACGGCTATGTTTTTTGGCTAGTCCCGTGTGTGTTTGTTGTGTGAGGTGTCTTGATAGCAGTCGTTCTCCACTGTAGTCCTGGCATCTGCTGCTCAGATTCCTTCCACAGCTGTGGTCCCAGTGGCACCGTCTCTCCGGCGAACCATGTGGTGTGTGTGTGACGAGTATCACGGGGTGTGTGGGTGAGTGGGTGGCATGTGTCACGGGGTGGGTGGATAGTCTGGTGATAGTGGTCATGGTTGGCAGCGATCCACGACCACAACAACCACCCCTATTGTGTGGTGGACATGCCACCACAAAGCAGCTTGCGGCGGAGGAGTGAGGTGATCGCTCTCGCCACGCGAGCAAGGCCCCCTCGCTTCCTCTTCTTTCCTTGCATCACCACCTCCACCACCTGCACCTCCTCCACCTCCTGCTTTGTCTCGTCCTCCATCTCCTCTTCATCCTCCACCACCATCTTCTCTCCCTTGTCTGTGTTCTCCATTCTCTCCTCCTGTTCCTCCTCAACCTCCTCGTCCTCCACCACCTCCACCTTCTCCTCTTCGTGTTCCTGTTCCACCTCTGTCTTCTTCTCCATCTTCTCTGCTTGGAAGCACTCTTCTCCAAAGCTTGGAGCAATCGGGCCCTGCACAGGAGTGGCAGAGGTGGATGCGGTGGCGGTAGACGTGGTGGCGGTGGTGGCGGTGATGGTGGTGAATGCAGTGGCGGCGGCAGCGGTGGCAGTGGTGGTGGTGGCGGTGATGGCGGTGGCGGCGGTGGCGGCGGCAGGGGTGGCGGTGGTGGCGGCGGTCGTGACGATGGTGGTGATGGCGGCGGCGGCGGTGGTGGCGGAGATGGAGGTGGTGGCCGTCGTGGCAGTGGTGGTGGCGGTGGTGGCGGTGGTGGTGGAGGTGGTGGCGGTGGCAGTGGCGGCAGTGGTGGTGGTGGTGACGGTGGTGGCAGTGGCGGCAGTGTTGGCGGTCGTGACGGTGGTGGCGGTGGCAATGGCAGAGGTGGCGGCCGGTTTTGTGGCAGTAGCGGCAACGGCGTCGGTGTCAGTGGTGGCGGTGGTGGCGGTGGTGGCAGTGGTGGCGGCGGGTTTTGTGGCAGTGGTGGCGGTTGTGGCCGTGGTGGCGGTGGTGGCCGTGGTGGCGGTGGTGGCCGTGGTGGCGTTGGCGGTGGCAGGGGTGGGGGTGAAGGTGCCGGCCGTAGCGGTGGTGGTGATGGTAGCAATGCTGGCGAGGCGCTGCTCCTGCTCAAGGCGCTTCTCCTCCTCGACGTGTTTCACGTTGTCGAGACACTTCTCCTCCTCCTCCAGACTCTTCTCCTCAACACACTTCATCTCGCGATGATGCTTCTCATCAATGAAGTACTTCACTTTAATGAGGCGCTTCTTGAGGAGATAATCTCGGAAGTACTTCTCCTCTGTGCGGCACTTCGCCCTGGCAATGCGCTGCACCTCAAAGAGGCGCTCCTCTTCCATGGTGCATCTTTCTTTGCCAAGGTTCTTTTCCTGGAGATGCTTCACCCCGCTGACGTCCTTCAACTCTCCAATTATCCTCTGATCAAGCAAAGATAAGCAAAGGAACATTCAGACATGCACATGCAAGCAAACATTCATACCCACAGGCACGAAAACGTGGACGTGCACATAAACCCAAACAAAAAAACATACACATGTATATACAGATGCAGCCACCCACATTCAGTCACTCAAACTTGCTTAGTACACACTTGAATATACACTATCACCTACTGTTAACAGAATGCCTTATCCATCAATACTTGTATTACATTGTACGTGTAATACTAACTCCTAAATATCCCAACTCCTATAGAATCAAAATACATGTCACATCCTCATATATCCTCACAAACCCCATGCATGCACTCAAGACTTTTCTCGATTGTGACGGTTTCATAGCAAATGTTGGCAATAATCATCACTGGCAATAGATTTCACAGAATGTCCCAATATAAATATCTGGAAGCCCATACTCTGGACAAACTTCACTGCAGCGCCCATAGTGGGGAACTGGAATGGCAACTTGCAATCAACTCACAGACATAATTCATGTGACTGCCTGATATCATTCTGTCTTCATTGGTAATGGCCACTTCAAGTGCCTGCATGACTGGGATGGTGAAGAGATGCGGTGATGGTGTCGGGACATGGTGTTGTGATATGGAGAGGAGAAGTAATGGAATGTTCTCGAGAGATGGTGTATTGTGATGGTATAGAGGCACGATGAGGCTCTAATATGGTGTATTGAATTGATGGTCGTGTAGTGTGATGAGAAAAGTGATGGGGAGACTTGGTGTCGTGATATGTTGGTGTGCTGGTGAGGTGACATGGTGTGCTAGTTTTCGAGACAATGTCGTGTGTTTTAACCCTACAGACCCCATACACATCGTGCTCTCTTCTAGCCCCGCCCCCTCCCCCAATACGTTCCATTCATTGGCTACCACATTCTGATAAGCTCCTCCCCCCTCCTCCCTCCTTAACTTGTATTTAAGAACTTGCATCTTGGAATCCCTGCCTCACTTTATACAGCAAATTCAGCTGTGACGGTCCCACCTGGGACGGAGACTTGTGTTGCCTCCGAAACGTCGTGATTTTTATTATTTTATTTTTATTTATTTTAATTTCATTTTATACCTACGTGACTTTACCGAAATAACTAAGAGTAATGAATCCTTGCAGTCACGAAAGCTTCAAATCTAGAACCCATACACACCTTTGGTGAGCGATTCTTGTAACTTTGGCCTGGGAAAGGGTCCACCTTATCCATAACGTCCCCCCACGTGGTCGACTGGCACGCCGACTCCCGGGCTATGAAGAAAAGAAAATGCATTCCAAGGACGAGTAATGAATTAGAGAACGAAGTACATTGAATTTCACAGAACTACTTTTGAGATCCCAGTAATTACCTCTTACCACACAACAGGACCTGCTATTGAGAAATAGTCATCACACGGCATTCAAACTTTACAAGTCATGTTTTTGTCGGCATTTTGAGACCGTAAATTACCTAAGCTTGAGAACCGAGTATGAACGAAGATGGCAGAAACTCAAATCTAAACCCATCCTATTTGCCACACTCGATCATTACGTCTTCCCATTACCACCAAGCCATGTCTACGAAAACTAATTTATCAAGGAGCCTCCTCCTCCGCATATAATCCATGTGATGCAGGTATCTGGGACTTACCCTCATAGTCATCCAAGATCTCAGCCCACGTGATTTGTCTGTCCATGTTGTTGGGAAGGAGTAGATTTTGTTTGAAGTTGGATGGCCTGGGGAGGTTGGAACAATGCTCAGATTTAGCAAACTTTTGAATCACTCATCCTCTTAATTAATACATATTTGACCACTCATTGTACCAATCCAATCACTATCGTGACTATACTCTTAGGTTTTTTTTCGGTAAAGTCAGGTAGGTAAAAATAGATAAATAATAAAAATAAATAATAAAAATTCTATAAATAATAATAGAAATAAAAGAATAAATCACGACGTTTTGGAGGCAATACAAGCTTCCTTCATCAGGTGTAAAGGCACAGCAAAATAACTGTAGTTAATAACTGTAATTACTGTAGTTATTTTGCTGTGCTTTTTTACACCTGATGAAGGAAGCTTGTGTTGCCTCCGAAACGTCGTGATTTCATATTTTATTTCTATTATAATTTATATTATGTTTATTATTTATTTTTTCCTACGTCACTTTACCGAAAAAAACCTAAGAGTATGAATCCTTGCAGTCACGAAAGCTTTAAATCTAAAACACTATCGGGACTTTTTTGTTGTTGCTGCTAATCCTACATAATGCACGGGCATAATATGACTTTGATACCCCCCACCCCCCACCTCCTACGCATTTCACAAGTAGTGACTAATCCCATATCTACATTTTCGACAGCCCTGTTCTTCACCTGAGGACGGCTGCTTGCGTTGTGGCCGAAACGTTGTGAGAATTGTATTTTATTATGTTTTATTTTCATTATTTCCCTTCTACGTAACTTTACCGAAAGAACCAAGAAGACTATCGTGACTGTTGCTTTAAAAGCCCACTCACTCGCTTGTTTGCCCACTCATGTGTGCGCCCGATCACTCACTCATCCACCCACACGAACATGTTTATTCCAACTGCCTATTTCATTAAACATAATCACCAGACTTAACAATTATATTTCACCTCTAATCTAGACATGCATGTTCATGTACAGTCCATTTGTATTAATCGACTGCTTGATTAAAGACCCATATGCCTTGTAGGTCATTAGGGTCATATGACCATACCTAAATAATTTGTTATAACCCGAGCATGACGTCGTAGGTCACTTGATGTCAGAGGTACCACCCATGTGGCTGTGACATCACAGATTGGAGGCAACTATGGCAGTGGCTAGGGTCTGAACTTAAAGGCAGACTCCTCCCAAAATGTTGAATAAAATTCAGTACATATAATGTAGGACACAATTGTACCAGCAATCAGAACATAATAATTGTACTCTTAGGTTTGTTTGGTAAAGTCACGTAGGTAAAAATAAATAATAATAAAATAATAATATAATTAATTTTCGATTTAAAGCTTTCGTGACTGCAGGGATTCATCTTCTTGGTTCTTTCGGTAAAGTCACGTAGAAGGGAAGTAATAAAATAATAAAAATAAAACATAATAAAATAAAATAAATCTCAAGGCGTTTCGGCTACAACGCAAGCAGCCGTCTTCAGGTGAAGAATGAGACAATAACTTGGCAATAACTTGGCATTGTCTCATTCTTCACCTGAAGACGGCTGCTTGCGTTGTAGCCGAAACGTCGTGAGAATTATTTTATTTTATTATGTTTTATTTTTATTATTTTATTACTTCCCTTCTACGTGACTTTACCGAAAGAACCAAGAATATAATTAATAATAGAAATAAAATAATAACATAATAATAATATGATAAATCACCTATGTGACTTTACCGAAAAAACCTAAGAGTATGAATCCTTGCAGTCACGAAAGATTCAAATTGTAGATATGTTATTCATATTCTATGATATTTAAACGGGTTAGTTATGCTCGTCTTAAATTCTGACTCGCCTGGGGTCTAAACAACGACAGTAACAGCAACATTTCAGGGCATGCCAAGTAACCTATTTAACAGTTCTAATTTGATTGCAGAAAATCTACATATAAACATAAAAAATAATGAAGCTTGTGGTCAAAATGTAAAATAAAAAGAAACCACATTCATCGTCAACAGGGTCGCTCACCTCGTTGAGGATTCGCTCTCAAAAGGCTTCTTCTGCTGCTCCCTCGTGTGCATTCCTCTCCACTGTGGGTGGAGGCGTGGCTGTGACGTAACAGAGGTGACGTCACTAGCGCGAGGCTCCGCCCCCCACGAGCCCGGCTGGCGCATCACGTGGTGCAGTGCTGGTTGTGCGCGGGACCGGAAACAGCAGGTCCTGGGTTCGACTTCAGACTCCGTGGTCTACACAGCGAGGGTGAGTGAATGGGTGAGTGGGTGAGTGATTGAGTGAGTGAGTGGGTGAGAGATTGAGTGAGTGGGTGAGTGGGTGAGTGATTGAGTGAATGGGTGAGTGGGTGAGTGGGTGAGTGATTGAGTGAATGGGTGAGTGGGTGAGAGATTGAGTGAGTGGGTGAGTGATTGAGTGAATGGGTGAGTGGGTGGGTGAGTGAATGGGTGAGTGGGTGAGCGATTAGCGATTGGGTGAGAGACGGAGTGAGTGGGTGAGAGATTGAGTGAGTGGGTGAGTGAGTGGGTGAGTGGGTGGGTGAGTGGGTGAGTGGGTGGGTGAGTGGGTGAGTGCATGGGTAGGTGAATGGGTGAGTGGGTGAGAGATTGAGTGAGTGGGTGAGAGATTGAGTGGGTGAGAGATTGAGTGAGTGGGTGTGAGTGAATAAGTGGGTGTGAGATTGAGTGCGTTAGAGCTTGAGTGTGGCAGAGTGAGTCAGTGAGTGTGATAGAATGAGACAGTGAGTTAGTGAGACAGTGAGTTAGTGAGACAGTGAGTGAGTGAGAGACAGTGAGTTAGTGAGAGACAGTGAGTTAATGAGAAAGAGAGAGTGTGGCAGAGTGAGTGGCAGAGTGAGTGAGAGAGTGCAGTTCGTGTTTTGTCGAGAAAGTGTGGCGAGTGTGTGTGCGCGTTGTGTAGCTGTGTGTACATCGTGTACATAGTGTTTGTAGTCTCTAATTAGTCTAAATTACGCTACAGAAATTAAACATTTGCCCCCTTGCTTTGTGCTCTTTGATGTCGCCATTCCTGCGAAGAGGACAGAGGGGAGGCCTGGCCGTTAGGCCTGCCATACACCTCGGCCTCAGGCTTCATATTAAAAGTTCACTTGCTTGCTTGCTTGCGCGCTTACGACCGTGCAAATCTTTCGGTCGATTTTTTAACCCACTTCCCGTGATACAATCGAGCTGACATTTTGCACACAGACTCGTTGTGTGTGACATTTTATATTCGTGAAATTTTCTTTCCAAAATTTTACACTTTTTAGGTAAAAAAAAGTATATTTAATTACCAATTGCTTAATGGTGGCAGGCAATCATCTGACCCATAGGTGGCAGCCATCTCAAGCCAGATGACGAGAGGACTCTCGCCGCCCGTTTCAAAGACCAATGTGGGCTGGGTTGTGGCCCATTAAACACGCATATAAAGGATTTATAGTGAAAAACTTTGTTTTTACGGGTTAATTTTTGTATAATTTGAATTATGAACTTGTATTTCATTCATTAAATTGCAAGCGTATAAACACAATCTTATTGGTTTATTTACTATTAAATTCATGGTTTTCTTAATCTATGTAGTTATGTTTAAGTGAGCGAGGTGGTAGTACTAAGTGTGAATTTGAGTTACATGTAAATTATTGTGCAATGGATTTGTCTGTGTGCACCTAGCCTGGCACGGGTAATATTGACTTTGTTATTATTAAGTCGTTAGAGAGATTGTTTATTTGTGTGTCTGTTATGTTTGTGTCAGTTTACATATCTATGTTTGTAGCTGTTTACGTGTTAATTTATGATGGGTGGTGATAATAATGGGTAGGTGGTGATGATGGGTGACGATGGTTCATGATGGTGATGAATGTGATGGATGGTGATTATAATGGTTGTTGCTGATGATGATGGGTTGTGCTGATGGGTAAAGATGACGATCGGTGCTGATGATGATGGGTTACGATGATAATCTGTGGTGATGAGGGGTGGTGATGATGGGTCATGGTGTTGATAGGTGGTTGATGATAATGGGTGTTTATAATGGTGATGGATAGTGATTTTGATGGTTGGTGATGATGATGATGGCTGGAGAGTCAATGTATTGAGTACTTCTGTTAACTTTTTAAGTCCTGTAATGTGCATGTTTGTGTCTCTGTTAGATCAATCAATGAGGTACAAGTTATTATTTGCGTGATTTCCAGTGCTCCAAGCTAGAGTGATGTTGTGAATGCTCTATAATGTGTTCGGAAAAAAAGTCTTCCTTTAAAGTTCTAAAAGTGTTCACTTATTTCAGGATGACAACAATTTTATATTTCGATAGATGCGATGCTTGTCTGGTGGTTGTATCATCGGTACTATTTAATGTGTGGTGTTTATGGTAGAAGGTGCCATGTGTTGTGATCGTCTCACAGCTACTTGCGTGTTGAAGTTCATTCTAGACTTCGTCACGTTAAAGTGGTGCCTTGTAGTCCTATCGGATTACTTGTTGATGTGGTGTGAAGCGCAGTGGTTGTGAGGTGGTCCAATTCCTGAATTTACTCTCGTGGCTAAGTGGTCTTGTTGAGCTAAAGTTGGAGAATAACTGTGATCATAACTTTATTTTAATTGTTTAATAAAAACTACTGCAGATTATAGATTTCAGGATGTACGTGGATTTCAGGTTCGTTGTTCCTGTGTTTGATGCCTTCGATAAGGATGTCAATGGGGAACGATATATCCACATTTGCGTGTTTTATTTTGAGAAGATTTTAAACTATTATATTCCTGAAAATAAAATAATTTGTCTCGTTCCTTAACTGTTTGACCAAACGAATATTAATAAAGATTTCGATACGAGTTTTAACGTAAATATCTTTGCAGATTAATAAAAAATATCTTTGCAGATTAATAAAAACCTGATTTGTTTTTAAAGATGACTGATCGTACGTTATTGCTACCATATCTTTCCTTAAAAAAACACGGACGAGTAGACATGCACACACGAGTGTGCATCCAAGCACCACTATATATATACAGCAGTGTGCAACCACACACGAGTGTGCATATACAAAGGTGTACATACAGACATACAATGCAGTGTACATACACACGCGATTGTGTATGCATAGCAATATTAACGTTAATTTTTTTGCAGATGACTACAATTTTTATTTCTTAAAGTTATCTGAGCGTTCGTTATATGTACAATGCTTCCAACAAACACCTGTACACACACGAGTCAAAGACAAGTGTACATACACAGCAGTGTATATACACACGCTTACAAGCGATACCATTTCGATTTTCATTAAAAGTGTATGACAGCAATCGTAATAATTTTCGTGGATTAAATTAAACAAATCACCTTGATTGTTCTGACGCGCTCATCAACACAAGTACTTAAATATTTTTTTTATAAAACAAAGTCAGTACGGCATACATTTGCACCTCTTAGTCCAAATCCAACTGGACATCACCATTTTGATACTTCGATGTTAAATCCTCAAAACTTGCATCATTTTAGAGGACATTGTCGGGTGAATATTAGCAAATTAACACAAAGCACGGAATTATGCATGGAGATGAAAATCTTTATTTAAACGGAAGCATACAATTATTCAGTGAGATATGTATATGTATTAAGGTTAAATTATAATGGCAAGATTAGCTAAGCTATGTTGCTATATATGCGGATTGTAAATGTAAAAATTAACATTTGAATGCAAAGTCCATGATAGGCCAAGTCGAGAACAAAGGATTTGTATGCTAGAGGGGAATTATAAGGGGCTTAAAATCAGACCTCAAGACCATTTCGAGAGGGATTTCACTGAGGATAGACGCTCGACTCCTCGCTCTGCAGATTACCCTGTGATCATAACTTTGCTCAAAAACAAAATAATTTTCCTCATTGTTTAATAAAAACTACTGCAGATGATCGGTTTCAGGATGTACGTGGATTTCACTTTCGTTGTTCCTGTGTTTGATGGCTTTCACTTCAGGATGAATAGCTTCAATCGATAAGGATGTCAATGAAGAATGATAAATCGACCTTTACTTGTTTAATTGAGAATAATTTTTAACTATTAAATTCCTTAAAGTAAAATAATTTGTCTCGTTCCAGATCTGAGTTTCAGCCATATTTGTTTAAATGGGGGTCTCAATTCTAGATTTGAAGCTTTCGTGACTGCAAGGATTCATACTCTTAGGTTTTTTCGGTAAAGTCACGTAGGTAAAAAAATAAAATTTAAATTAATAAAAGTAAAATAAAAATCACGTTTCGGAGGCAACACAAGCTTCCGTCTTCAGGTGGAACCGTCACAGCACGCTTGCTGTATCAAGTAAAAGTCATTTACTTAATACAGCAAGCGTGACTTTACCGAAAAAAACCTAAGAGTATGGGGGTCTCAAGTTTATGAAATTGATGATCTCAACATGCTTACAAAAATATGACGCGTAAAGTTTTACTGCCATGTGATGAATATTTCTCAATAGCCGGTCCTATTGTGTGGTAAGAGGTAATGACGGACGTCAGCATTAGTTCTGTGATTCTTCATGTGCTTCGTTCTCTAATTCATTACTGGTCCTTTGAATGCATTTTCTGTTCTCCATAGACTGGGAGTCGTGGCTCCAGTCGACCACGTGGGGGGACATTATGGATGAAGTGGACCCTTTCCCAGGCCAAAGCTACGAGCATCGCTCCCCAAAGGTGGCTATGGGATATATGGGGGTCAAACACACCATATTCACTCCACACTAGCACACCATTTCACCACACCATTGCACCAAAACATCACCAAACCATCTCTCCACGTCACCTTTCTCATCACACCACCACCAACTCAATAGACCATCATAGAGCCTCATAATGCGTCAACACCATCACAAGACACCATCTCTCCAGAACATTCCACAATTTCACCTCCATATCACAACACCATCTCCCGACACCATCACTCCATCTCTCCACCATCACGTGCTGCCATATCCCACTCGTGCAGGCACTTCAAGTTGCCATTTATTTTGCCAATGAAGACAGAATGATATTATGCAATCTCATGAATTCTGTCTGTGAGCTGATTGGAAGTTGCCATTCCAGTTGCCTACTATCGATGCTGCAGTAAAATTTGTCTAGATTATGGGCTTCCAGATCTTTACAATCGAACATTGTGGACATTTTTTTGCCCGTAATGATTGTTGCCAACAATGGCCATGAACTCGTCGCAGACTATCACAGCCTTAAGTACGTTTATGGAACTTGTGAGAATATATGA